GTTTACATTGCTAATGGTGACAAGGACCTTTTATTTAAAAATGAAAGTAAAAGCCCTAACAGGCAAGAAATCTGCTCCCAGTGGCCCACTAACAGGAGCCCATCCACTCTTGGCACACTAACAGGAGCCCATTCACTCTTGGCACACTAACAGGAGCCCATTCACTCCTGTAGCCCACAGGAAACAGAGAGGCTTCAGATCCTGTTCTGAGACACAACTCTGCTTATCATTGTACAGTTCAGGGTGTGGTAGAGGAAAAAGGAAGGAAGGCAGCAGCATTATCTGGCAGAGAGAGGTCACACAGATATCTTTCTGGGTGGATTGCAGCTTGTTCTGAGCTGTAACAGGGGTGGGGCTGGAGTCAAAGAACTGCTGAGCTGTAATCAGTCAGTGCCTCTGAAAGAACAGGCTTGCAGCTTTGGGCTACACCCCTTTCTAAGGCAGCTTTGGGTCAGGGCATGTCCATCTCATGGCAAAACTTCTGCACACATGCCCACAGTGCAACATAGCTGAGACCAGATCCTCATTTCCTGTCGTCTTTTCCCCCTATTTTGACATCACTTTAACAGAACAAAGTTCTATAACTGAAAGACACATGTTCATCCTTTAGAGCAGTTTAAGAGCAAAAAGTGTCTGCTGTGGAATAGAGATGCTGTCCCCTTGAGAGAACTCCAGTGTGGAATCCATCTCATAAGTCTTCAGATGCATGGATTCACTTTTTGGTCAGTGGCAAGAAACAGGCAGTTCAAGGGCACAGTTCACCTGTCCTGTTTTTATGCCTACTTTAGGATAAGATTAATCCCTCCTTAGCAGTGCCCACTCCTTGGAAGAAGCTGTGAAGGCACACTAGACAGCTGATGCAGCCACCCATATGCATGTCTAACACTGGTTGAAAGCACTTCTACATCTTTTCATGTGATCAGTTGCAGTATCAGCCTTGCGTTCCATTGTTACTATCTAAACCCTGTGAGGTATGGAAGTTTCCAAAAAGTTTATGCACTCATAAATTACAAATCAGCTACACAAAATAATGAAAATGGATTAAGATGCATGCTTAAATGCAATAGTACTATCATCTTTCTTCTACTATTTATTCAGCCTTTGGAGTTCTGGGGTATATTTTTGTCATTTTTTCCACTCTCATCCTTCAACTCAAGGCTTAAATCAAAGGATAGTTTAAAATGAGGGCAGGGAGTCTTGTAGTTGTTTGACTGTGGGATTTGAGTATAAACTCAGCTGTCATGGCAGGGCCACATATCAAAAATAAGATCAGTTAGGAAACTGTAGTATTTTTCTAAGAATCAGACATAATAATATTCTTCAGTTTTACAATTGAATTATTACAGGTTTTTACAATATTGCAATGAGATGTAATTGCTAAGGTTGTAACTCAACTTGAGTTGTAGTAAACTAAGTACAAGCTGAGACAGACATTGTGTTGCAAGTACAGTCAAGGGCAAGAACAGATACTAAAATTTTGCACTGTTTTAAAGGTGTGTGTCCCACTGTTTGCACTGCAAACATGCCTTTGTTAGGCAGCACACCCCATTTAGGTGACTGCAGAAATGCTGACAGGGCTAATGCCACTCAACATTTGCTTCACCTGGCATTATGGGTAAACAATTTACTGTGAAAGCATGAGAAAGCACTTATAATTTGCACTTAATAAGTTTAATTAGGAAATGCAGAAACTTGTATTGAGACCTCAGAGCAAAAAGAGAGTTTGCAAGAGGTCAAGTATCCCTTTGGCTGAAAGACAAATGCAGTGACAGCCTGAAATCCATCTCTGCACACCTTATATAAGCTGAATCTACTGATTCAGCTGATCCTGAGATCTACTGATCCCTTTGAAGCTTCAGCCCCCACTCTGAATATGGTTCTTACCCATCTTCTCTGTTGTGCATTTATCACTGAAATGGGCAAAATCCTTTTTATTCTCCACTATTCACACCCCACCATTCAAGGACTTCACTGTTACCCAGGACAAATCAATTTTTCAAGTCTGAACCTGAATGTGTGACTAGTTGTGCAGTGAATCATCTGATATGGGGCTTTGGTCACAGCCTGAGCTTGTGGAGGCACCTCACAAGAGAAAAGAGAGGTTGTAAAACAAGATGAAAAAGACTCAGAGTGAGGAAGGCTCAGAGGTGAAGGAAGATAAAAACTGTAAAATCAACTGTAGCTGCTTGGGATGTTTTAAAGGGGGGATGCTTTACTCTGGGTTCTTTACAGAAATACTGGCTTATTCTTTTTTTGGCTAAAACATGTCTCTCCAGTATTTTGTGTGAGCATGGTGTCAGAGCTCCCCTGCTGTGGTGGGAGCTTTGTGTGTTGCATCAGAGGCTCTCACCCTGTGCTACACTCAGGTTCTGCACTAATCTGTAGAGGAGCAGTAACTAAATGGATTTTCAAAATTCTTTGCTGAGAAAAGCTTTTGAGTAGTTTGTGGCTTAGGCTTTGTTATTGGTAGGGTATAGCTGATTATCTAAACAGTTAGTGGAGGGGTAGTGGAAGCAATTTCATATGCAGATTAATAGCAGCAAAATTTCTCATGCCATTCCTGTGATTTATAAGCCTCTGCAATTATCTGCATGACCTTCGTACTTGTAGGTGCAACTAAGAATGTAATCTGTTCCATAATTGCAGCCTTTCCCTTCTCCAAGGCATAAAAACACTGTGTAGCCAGGAAATAAGAATTAGGCAAACATATGGAAGATTTAAGCTGAAAATCTGTCACTTATTGGAAACTGCTTGTTTGTTTCTAAATTTAGATTGCATATTTTTGCTTTAGTTACTATTAAATATAGATATGAAGCATGTAGGAATTGTAGCAAAGTCGGATACTGAATTTCTGTTCAGCAGCTGTAATTTAGCATGTTGTAAGCTGGGATCTTACCAGAACTTGCTTGTGGTTATGTTCAATAGGCTTATTAAAAAAACCCCAAAACCCCCTAAAAATCCCAAAAACCTCAACTCACGCCAAGAAACCTCCCCAAAACTCACCAAAACCAAGGAAACAGCAGAAGTTCTGGGCATGTCAAAGGTCCTTGCACACTGTCCTGTTTTGAAGAGCCAGTGTGAATGCTCATGCTTGCCTCCTATATCATTATTTCCTCAGCACATTTTCCCTCAGCCATCTCTGACTGAATGCCTGAGCTAAGCATCTCATGGACAGCAGTGCTATGGCTCAAGCCTTCCCTAATCAGTGTCTACTCTGTGTGAACATTTACAGCAGGGTCGTTTTCGGTACATTGTGCAATTTCCAAACTCCACTATAATAAACTTACTTTTCTGCAATTGTATGGTCTGATTGCAGACTTATCTTTTCAAATCCTGTATCATCTGTAATTCCCTTACTACCCTTCATGGTCCTTTTCATACATTTTTATATGACTCTTTAAATGTTTCTCATGATTCATCTGTGGCTATGGCACTCATCCATAAAGACACCCACATTTCTCAATTTACTTCTTTGTGGAGCATGTTAGATGGAAACCATACCACACAGTTGTTTCTCCCAATCCTTACAAGATCTGTATTTCATGAGCGCAATTACTTTCAGGAGCATTCTCAGATTTAGGGTGAATATTTGAAATAAGGTAGTCAGACAATTGATATCCTAGAGTTATAACAAAGACTATTATCCCAGAAAGGAGCACAGGAAGTCAGAGGCAGGTATAGATACACTACTGAAAATGGGAAAGCTAGTTAAGAGAGCAGCTGGAGGGAATTATTTTAAATGTAGAGTACTGGTGGGGTTTTTTTGTGGATCCTACAAAAGCCAGATTCTAATTTACATCTTTTTGTCACCATCTATAAGTGTGTTATATACTAACACTTCCCATATTTTTCAAATATAGAGACCGGAACTGAGAAACAGGAATTGACATTGAAGACTGAAAACTGGGTTTGGGCCATGTGGACTTCATAAATCAGTTCAGATCAGTGTTCCCTTAATCTCTCACACTGTGTTCACCCTCAAAATTAAGGCTTCTTTTTTTTTAATGACAAACTCAGAGAAACCTGTGTCTGACCCTCATTTCTACAAGCACTGCTGTATGGGGCTTCTTCAGAGAATAGGCTCATAGGAAAAAACCCAGCTTTTGTCTGTGTCCCTCCAACTAAGAATCCTGAGGCAAAAAAATACCTCTTTTTTTGCCTCAGCATTCTTAGTTGGAGGGACACAGAAGAAAACAAACAAGACAAAGCCCAAACTCAATGGAATAGGCTTTCTGCCTTGCTTTCTGGAATGAGTCTAGCTCCTGTTGCTGAGAGGGATCCTGCACCTAGTGCCAGAACTAGGGTTGCTGTGCTGGGGTTCAAAATACTTCTGGAAACCTGCACAGTGGGACTTTTGTGCACCACAATGCTCAGGTTCCTGAGGTCCTGACTTGCTGGGGAAGAGGAAAAGGATCTGAAGCAGATACTCAGAGGGAGAAAATGTTGGCAGATTCCTTATCCCTCCTCTCTTGGGAAAAAGCAGACTCATCCCTTCACACTGGTTGAACATCTGAAGTGGAAGTGTGAACACAACAGAATGAATGCTGACAGTAAACATTAGTCAGTGAAAGAGTAAACCCTGCAACGTAAAGGATTGAGAAATGCAATTATTTCAACTTCCTCTTAAAAGCAGGTCTGTAAAATATTTTTGTGCTCACCTCTCAAAACTAACTTCTGCTTCATTATTTACTTTTGAGGTGTAGGACAAGTCATAGGATTATTAAAGAGAAGTACAAATCACAAGACACAGTAAGAACCTGGAGACTTGGTGGTAACAACTGGTAGTGTTCCCTAATGCTTGGTTAATATTTACCTGTGATAAAGCAACTATTTAAGCAATTGTGGATGACTTGGTCTTAACATTTGCTTTCAGGAGCAGAGCACGGTGTATTTGACATGATTTGAGAGGTTTTCTGAAGACACAAGAACAACTTTTATCGAGGTCAAACTCCTAGGAAAGCGTCTTTTGCAGCACTCGTTTTTGTCTCAGCTTGTTGAAAATGGCGGGTGTAAGCAAATGCATGAAGTACTCCATGTTCATCTTCAACTTTTTCTTTTGGGTAAGTTTGTGTTTAAACTATTATTAATGATGTAGGAAATGTGTTCCCCATTATCTGAATGCTGCAGTTAGAGAAATTGTAAAGAAAATAGAGCATAAGTGGAGCCAGAGTATGATTCTAAATCAGGGAGAGGAGAATATATTTAACTTTTGCCCTTCCCTTTGTCTTTTTCCATCTAAACACCTTTCCCTCTGCATTTAAAAGTAGACAAGCTACTCCCTGTTCATCTTGTGCCCCTCATGTCGAGGGACATCACTCATCTCAGTCAGAAGATAACAGACTCTGCAATAACATTGCACAGTTGTTTTCCTTTTATTTCTGTTTGCATGCAAGATCCTGAAAATGCAGTTGCAATAGAAAATACGGAAAATTTACTTGAATTTTTAGCCTCCTGATTGATAAATGGTTTTCATAGCCTTCTTTCTGGTTCTTTGCTTTACATTTAGTGCATAATTAGTTTCTGATGGTGGGCAGTAAATGTTTCTAAGAATGTATGTGCTGGCAGTACTGCCACAGCTGTACCAAGGCTGATACAGCACAGCACAGCAGGCAGGTTTCTGGGTGTTATTTAAACCGCATTTGTCTACTTACCACATCTCAGCTGGGTTGCAAGAATTTCAGGTCTTGAAAGCTCTGAGTTAAAGAACACTTCTCTCATGGTTCAGCCTCATTGTCAGATTTCCTGAAAGAGCTTTGTCAGGTTCACCGGGGTTCACTGAAACCAGAAGTAGAACTCCTATCCATATTATGGGCTTTGCCTCTAGGGATTTTTTTCAAGTGAAAAGGTGATACCATTCAAAAGGGACCACAAACAGTAGCCTTGGAAAATTTGTGGCTAGCCCAAATTCTTTGATTACTTATGGACCTCACAAAGAAATTCCTGACAGAGCAGTGATGGTTTGGACTTTCTCCCCCAGTTCCTTCCTTCAGTTTAATGAAGGCAGATTGAAGATTTTTGACATTTGTGTTGAAGTTTTTATGCAACAGTATTTACAGGAATCTGTAAGTTTCTGAATTTGACTTCCTGTTCCTCAGGAAGTTTTTTCCTGTTTTTGTGGTTTGACCCCCACCAGCAACCAAGTACCACAGACACTCACTCACTCCCCCACCAGCAGAATTGGGAAGAGAATTGAAGGCATAAAAGCTGGAAAATTCGTGAGTTGACATATAGACAGTTTAATAGGGAAAGAAAAAGCCATTCATGTAGACAAAACAAAACAAATAGTTAATTTCCTGCTTCACATGGGCAGGCAGGTGTTCAGCTATCTCCATGGGGGCAGGTCCTCATTTTGTGAAGTGTTTACTTGTGAACACAAATGCCATCACTCCAAATGTCCTTCCTTCTTCTTTCTGCCAGCTTTATCTACTGAGCATGATGTCAAATGGTCTGGAACATCCCTTTGGTCAGCTGGGGTCACCTATCCTGGCTGTGTCTCCTCCCAACCTCCCATGCACCTGCAGGCTCCTCACCAGAGTAGCAGTATGAAAGGAGGAAGAAAACTTGATGTAAGCCCTGCTCAGCAATAGCAAAAACTTCTCTATATTATCAACCCTGTGTTCATCACAAGTCCAAAACACAGCCCTGTACCAGCCACTGTGAAGAAAATTACCCCAGCCAAAACCAGCACACCTGTTCACATTTATCTGTGTTTACTGTGAGCTAAAACATGGACAAATGTCTTAGACTAGCATTAGGAAAGCTCCAAAATACTTCTAGAATGAACATTGGACTGATGTCCTATGCCTCCAGTGACAGTATGGATTTCCTAGGGAGAAAAAAGGGGTGGGATCTGGGGGAGTCATGAAACAAACATGTGTGAAACAAACTTCCTCCTATTTTTATACCAAAGTTGAAAAACCCATACTGTATTCTAAGGCAGAAAATGCTGAGAGCATTCTCTGTGCATATGCCTGCCTTGATGGAACAGAGAAGGATAGGAATGCAGCTATTGTTAATTATTTTTAGGCAAATGTTTAGTTTAGCATGATCAAGATAAGGAAGAACAGTATGGCCTGACAGAAATACAATGAAACGGAACTTTTTGGTTCACATTCCTGTCTCTAATTCATGGAAATCACTAAACTGCAACAGTAAAGTTGAGGGAACAGAGATGACTTTACAGCCACTCATCCCACAGCTGCTCTCTCTAGTACTAAGACAGTTGAGAAGTGGAAAATTACTGATACTGGGAAATGAAGGTGACTTTAACCTAAATAGATAAGAACGACTGTTGTGTATTTACCTGGTGTTCTTATTTTACACCCTTTGCAATCTCTCAGGGAGTGTCCTCTCTTAAAAGACTCAGGAATGAGCTTTCTAGGCTTCTGATGACGTTTTCTAAGCAGGTCATGCAGCATCACACTGAGTGTGTAAGCCCTGGAATAGTCTAAGATAGCTCTGGAAATTGACTATGGATGGCTTCACTACATGATGCATGTCCCCTGGGCATCTACATGCCCATGAGCCCCATGCTGGATTCCAGCACACAAATAGAGCTTTTCATCTTCCCAGTTAGGTGAAGAACAGCAGACTGGTTTTTGAAGATCTGTGCTTTGGAACTGGGTGCCTATATGGACTGTTAGAAACTAGATGGAGTTTCTAACAGTCCTTAAATTAATCCTTGTCAGTTTTGTGCATTAAACCTAACACATGTCCGATTTTTCTTCTTTCCTTTCTTTGGAGTTTGCAGGATATCCAGTCTCACCTGTTGTCCGCATTGCACCAACTTCTGCTCCTCCACATCATGCAAAATTGGAGGATTAGCTATTTTTTTCACCGAATACTGACATCTGACGCTTGTTTGAAGCAATGTGATTGGTGATAGAGATCTTTGATCAGCTGTTAATACCAGACTTGCAGTCCCATCTACAAAGTGGCCCCTTCCCTGAACCTTAATGTGAACATCTCAGTCCCTGAAGTAGCAAGACAAGCTTAGCAGGTTTGCTGAGCCAGAGGCCACATTCTCTGTAGGACCTGCCTAGAATTGTCATTTCAGGTGTCTCAAGGAAATATGCCAGTCAAATATTTTCTTTAACAGAAGCAACCTTCTGTGGTTGTAAAAGTTCCTCCTGATATACTTGAACTTACTGTTTGACAAGGGTGTGCCAGTGGAGGAAATTCCCCACAAGTCTGGTATTTGTGTGTATGAAAATTGCAGAGTCTTAATATACTGTTGGTTCAGCACTATGTCAGGTTTATCTGAGGTAGTATTGATTTAACCAGCTGAGCTGTACTTCTTTCTCAGACCAAATTTGAAGCTTGAGAAGGACCAACCAAATGTGAGGGACAACAGTACTCTTGCTGTTCAATTTATGAGACACTGATTCTTTATCAAGGATTGTGGCAAAAATAAGATAGCCATCTAATTTTGGGAAAATGGGGGAAGACCTTTTTAAAGAAGCTAATTTTATTCCATCAGAAAACACTAGCAGTTCATTAAAAATGAAATTTCCTGGAATGAAAGTTTATTTAATTGAAACTTTATTTTAAGAATACTTTAAGATGGAGTATTGCAACAAACTTGACATGTTCAACTTGGACTCCTTTGGAACAGACCATTTTTATTTGCTATTTCAAAACTTTTCTTTATGTGTTTTTGTACACTTTGCATATTATGAAAATAACTAGAAACAAACCCTTAAGATTTTACTGAAATGGAGCATTTTTTTATCAACCTAAACCAACTCTATTTTAAAAATTAAAATATGTACACATCTTACTTAAGTTTTGATTTATAAACAGTGTTTCTATTTTTACATTAAGAAAATATTGTAGCATTCCCATTTGATTGATATGTTCCTGTACATTTAGCTAAATTTGCTTCTACTACTCTGCTGTATTTTAATGGGAGGTCCTATGTAACAAAAAAAATCTCTTTGGATTTGTAGCAATAGATGCTTCAGTGGAAACTTTCACATTAGTAAGCCCATGTTATGTAGTGAATAGCCACACCACTCACACAGTGCTGCTGAACAAGACTGAAATGTACAGTCATATGTTATATCATCAGTTTCTAGGCAAATTCAGCAGGATTCAAAAGGTTTCAGAGGGAAGTTCTAGTTCAATTTGATAACATGTTATAGCTGTCATTTATTGAACAACTTTATTTTTCATGTTTAAAATGTACTTATAGGAGCTTTACTTAGAGCAGGAAAATGTGTGGTACTCATGTCTGAGTGCTGGCCCTATTCCATATTCAATGATCTGCTGAGGTCATTAATGTCTTTGATACTGAATATTATATGAAAACTGCTGTGGGGAAAGTTTTTTTAAAGAAAAAATATCTAAACCATGTAAAAAAACTATTTTAATTTCAATAGTCCCAGTCTTCAAGGGAAATTCATAACAATATTTCAGGGCCATTTATGACTTGAGTATTAGTGGCACATGGAGATAATTATAAATCTGACTAGTCCCTGGTCCTCAGTGAGGTCTCTCACCAGTCATCCCAGTAGGCACAATCCTCACACCTGAGTAGCCTCTTGGTTACCTATGTCCAACAGATAATAAAGAGAAATTCTGTGTGGTATTCATCAACAAGGTTAGGAATAGAGTGACTGGCACACAGGGGAACAGTACCTCAATGCTCGATGAAATAGGAGCACAACCAGAAATGAAGGAATGTATCTGGACCTGTGATTCATCCTCCCTGACTCCAGCATCTTAAGGAAAGTCATGCTGGTCAAACATTCACATGTACAAGCTCAAGTTGTACTTGTCTGTTCTCTGTAAAATTATAATGGGAACATATACTGAGACCTGTTCTAAAGATTGGAGATGGCCAGATATTGCTGCATTTGAAACAGCAAAAAGAATTCATTTAGAACTTTTCCTGTTAGGTTTGCCAAAGAGAATGTCTCCAGATATGTGTCCTGAATAAGGCTAGAAACAGCAGATAGGCAAACATCCCTTATCAAATCTCATGTTTCCATTATTCAAGAAACAACATTCTTTACAGACACACTTTATAGGTACAATAGCAATTTATATTTCTCTCTCATCTGACAGACTTTCTGTGTGCTTCTCAAACACATGTATAAATCATCATGTAAATGCTTAGTCCTCTGGGGTGGAAACATCAGGGATTTGGTGCATACCTGAAGATTTAACTACACTTACGAATTTTCCTGGAAATGAATCAATATTCTCTGCTCCAGCAATTCATGTTTCCTTTGCTTTGCCAAACAAGTGATTTCAGAAGTTTGGACAGCATATGGTGCAATTTGGATACTGAATGTTAGTAAAATAGTTGCTGACCTTTCAAACATGTCTTTATTTTCTCCCACAGGTGTGTGGTTGCATTATTTTGGGATTCTCTATATGGATACGTGTTAGCAGTGCTCAGCAGGTAAATGCATGCAGTCATACCAGCAACATGTGAAATGTGGAAACTACTGCATATACTTTAATTTCCCATATTCATTTCCACAAATTTTCTATGTTTTTGTTGAGATTGTTTGTGTGGGTGAAGAGGAATGCATTTTATGACGTTAAGATGAAACATCATGGTGCAGGTAGTCAGACAAAGCGATCGATGCAAGCAGAGATATGTGACTATGAGAAGTAGCTGCCAATGTTGTTAATGTAGTTTCATGCAGATGCACACAGATTTCTGTTTGAAAATGTGTCTCTCTCCTCTAGTGAAAAATAATTATGCTTTTGGTAATGATTTTGGTGTTAGAATAACGTGGAGATATGCAGCTCATAGTCTTTTCCATGTTTTTCCCTATTAGAATAGTATAGTCATATCTATTCCTAGGGTTACTCCTTATGTTTTTGGGGAATATTTTTATCTTTCTCACTATGTTCAATACCACAATTCTCATTTCCCCAGTAACTGAAACTTTGAAAGGGAAAACAGAGTTTTCCATTCAATTTTCAATAGCTCTTTAAAAACACCTTATGCTTTTCTCCTCATATTTACATATAAAGAGCTTTAAACGCCCAAGAATCTAGGATTACAATGTCCTAAAACTCCTCCTGGAGGGTAGAAAAAAGACCCTGAGTTGCCCTCATGGATTTTTTGTATGGGTTATTAAATTACTTCAGATATTATGACTTTTATTTTCTGCAAAGCTAGGGAAAATACAGTTTTGAGGAGCTCTCAATCCTGCAGACATGCAGCAGAGGTTGGTCCTGTTGTCTCAAAGACCCCATGGTCCTGTGGACCCTTTTGCCCAGTGAGTACTATTGGCACTGACTCTAAGTTTTAAGCAGTATATTCTTTCAAATACATTTGGGGCATAGAAATGCAAATTAATTTCAAAGCTTAATTTGCATTCTTCTGTTTCTAAAAATGACTTCTTGGCCAGAGAAGTGAAAAACAACCAGCTGTCACATAGAAGCATATTTTTTTTCAGCTTTCAGATTGAGCCTTTAGTATAGATTACATTGCAATTCTTCAGATAACTCCCCTGTTGCTCTAGCACAGTCTGCCAGTTAAGAAAACAACTTTTAAACCAGTATTTTCCCACCTGGAAATAAAAATATGGTGAAGGTAAAAGATAGCTTTGTACATTCCTTGCCATTTGGCTGATGGCACTTTACCCTTAGCCAGCCCCAGATGTCTCATGTCTGGCAGAGCATGGGTGCAAGAGAATTTGGTTCAAGATGACACCGTGTCATTGGGTAAACAGGTCAGGGTGGAGAGCTCTGCCATCCTCTTCTCTGGAAGGGGAAGAATCACAACTTTCACTCCTCAATCAACATTTTACTAAAAGCTAAAACTGCCATACTTGACACTCGACAGTCTCTGATATGATGGCTCAAATGATGCAATGGAGCTTGGAAAACCAAAACCACTACCAAATCTTAGTTTTTAAGAGATTTCCTATTCAGAAAAGAATATTTAAATGTATGTCAAGTTGCTTTTCTGAAGCAACACTTAGTACTCTCCAAAAACCTATGAATTAAGAGTCGGGACCAAAATTGAAAGCATTTTCTCACATTTTACCTGCAGACATGCAAAGTTCCCATTCAAAACCAATGTATGTTTCGCCTCAGTAATAACTGAGCAGACCATAAGGATTTGGCTGTAAAATGAATAGAGCTTTCTAAGAATAAATAACAGCAGGTTCAGTCCAACTTGGGAAGGGAAAGAACAACATATTCTTCAAATTATGCTTGTCTATATACCTTTGCAATTTCCATAAGAAGATAAATGTGACAGCTTCCAGACATTTTTGCTAATCTTGGCACCAGTATCACTGGAAAATATTCTTTGAACACTTTTCTCGCTTTAGGCCTTTGGCCTTAGTCACTCCTGTGGGAACTGAATAATTTGATATTTAATAATATTGAGGTATATGAATTGTTTAGTTGAATGCCCCACACATTAAAATAAAGTTCTCATCTCTGAGGGTAATATTAGAGATCAAGCCTGGGAGAAAACAAAAAAAAAAAGGAAAAAAAATCTGCCTTGGAAAATACATCTAACTATTTCTCAAATATATGCAGCATCACTCTGAGAAGTGTTCTCTCAGGAACAGCCATAGACTATGTTCCTGGTTTCCTAATGACAAACAGAGATTTTTTTCTTTAACATTGGGTTAATGTAGGAGAGGTTTTGAGGTAATCAAGTCTCCTACTTCCAGTAAAAAGCAAAGATTCATTGACTGAAAACCAACTAAAAAGCCACTTTGAAGACAGAAGATCTATATTTATTCAATTACTCTGTAAAGTTGATTTTCATCTTGTGCAGAAACAAAGGTTGTGAAAAGCCAGATATTATAAAGCTCTCCACCACAACATTTGTGAAGGGAGCACTAGAGCTTTGTTTATTTATGGGTCACAATTTCTCCATAGTTGCTACTCAGCATATTTATCAGTTACAAAATAATGATCTTGTTCTGCGGAATACAGATGCTTTTAGGAGGACCTTCTTGTAGCTGAAAGATTGTTTTTCCTCTCTTTTTCCAGGGGATGGACAGCAGCATGCTTGGAGGAGTTAATCTCCTGATAGCTGTAGGTGCCATCATCATGATCCTCGGGTTCCTCGGGTGCTGCGGTGCTGTCAAGGAGAGCCGGTGCATGCTGATGCTGGTAGGAAGGAAAAACATCTGTCTGCCTTTCAAAGGCCACAGCTACATATGATGGATGGAGTCTTTGCAAGTAGCATCAAATGAGGATGGGCATCTTTTAATTTAACCAAAAGCATGATTATAATCCTGTGTTTTCTTTCCTCACCTTGAGTTTGGGCCCCTTCTAAATTCTGTTGTAAAAATTATGGTTGGTCTCATCAGCAAGAAAACAGGGTCCAGAGAGACTTGAGCATATTACTCACTAGCTTTTTTTCCATCCAGCCATCATCAAAGTTCCCTCCATCAGCTTTCACCCATTACTTATTCTACTTAATTTTCTAAATTCCCAGCCTTCTCTTTGCTGGTTCACCTAGAATGTCCTCCCTGTCCTCCTGCCCAACTCTCACCTACACGCTGTTACCATGACACTGTTCTGGTGTGTGCCTTGTTTTGATTACCAGCTGTTTTGATCACTGGCTCTCTGTCTTGAGCACCAGTTTTTCTTATCATCAAAGAAGAAATAGTTGGAGCAGCTCTGACTGGAAAATCATTCTACCCACATGGTTATTCAAGCATCTGAAAGATAAATACTAACTTAAAAGAAATTATATCACCTTGGTCAAAAGTAATACAGTTTTCTACCCCTTTTGTTTTTCCCCAGTTTTTTATTGCACTGCTTCTGATACTGATTCTTCAGGTGGCAGCAGGTGTTTTAGGAGCAGTGTACAAACCTCAGGTACAGTATTATTCTATATTTTCATTGATGTCTTCATATAGTTTTATTTCTTCTCAAAAAAAATAGTGATATATTTTAACTTGCAGGTTGAAGCAGCCTTTAACCTTACTCTGAGCGAAGGTGTGAGTGGACTGCAAAGTACTACAGGAGAATATAAAGAGTATCAGGAAGAGTTCCAGAAGCTGGAGAAAATGGTAATTAAGCAGTAAAAAACCAATGGGGTCGTTGCTATCTGCCTCATCTTTGGTATCTGTCTCCATTTTATGACTACTCTGCTGCAGATTTGAATTTTGTTCCCTGGGGTGGGAAAGGGTCTGACTTAAAGGCAAGTTGAAACACTACAGAAGGGACTTCTGTTCTCTTGAAAGGACAGGGTCTTCCTTGATGATTTCTTTGTGCCATAGTGCTGCCCATAAGAGCAATGAAGCAAGGACACACCACATGCAAGTAAGACTGACAGTTAGGTAAACTCTTTTAGGAGAGCACTGCATGGCCCTTTCTTACAGCTTTCCCTTCTGAAGGAACATTGATCTTTCACCATATCCCAAATAAGAACTTTTCAGTACTCTTAAGAAGAGTTTACCCCAGGGATTAGGAAAACACCAGGAGTGTATTTAATTTGGAATACCCTACAGCTATGAAGCCATTAAATGCTACACTTTACTGTGTTAGAAGAAGGAAGAAAATAGGATGAGAAGTTTATTTTTTATTGTGTTTGCACTTCTCCTGGTGCCTCCATCCTGCAAGACCCCAGATGGTGGATGCTTAGTCAGAGCTTGCCCCTGGGTATCTCACAGAGAACACCCTGGAATCTCATTGACGACACTGACATCACACACCCTCCCCTCCCACAGGCACCTGGGTCTGTGCATTGACAGAATGCCTGCTGCTCTGTTTCTTTAGTCCCTAATGGGTGATTGCTTTTATGGATTGATATAAAGTTAATTTTTATGTTTTTAAAGACTGCTGTATGAAAGAAAACCAAACAAGGAACAATATTTAGGTGTCTTATGTTACTTCCACTTCTCCTTCCCCATTTCATCTCCAGCCTCGTCCTCTGCTTCTGAGGCAGCTTATTTCTTCTGATATAATAAGCCCTCTGGAGAGAGGAGCAAAATGAAAAATCCCCTAATTACTGCATTAATTTTTAAATGTAACAGGACTGCTGTATTATGTCCCACAGCCTTTGCTTTTATACAAAATTATGTGAACATTTCCAGCTGCTTTTTAATAGAGGGAGGACCTCAAACCCAAGTTTGCACCTCTGAGCTTTAGTGGTTTGAATACAGTGGAACATGAAGTGAAACTGCACCTGGTTTAGGTTTCACAAACCCCAAATGGAGCCCTGGTCTCCTCAGTCCATTTTCAATTTAAAGAGATAACCATCATTCAAAGAGGTTATTTTTATAGATTTCAGAGTTTTAAGTGCCTGAATTTTACATTTTCCAGCCTGGCTTCTCAAGATGTGAAATATGGATGTTACTGGAGCTGGCAACTTACCTTCTGCAAGTACAACCTACGGAAGAAGGCTTGATTTAAAAAAAAATAGTATACCCAGTGTTCTAGTTCCACTGTGGCACTGATAATTACTAGCTTTATAGTATGTTAATGTTTTTTGAGCATCTTATACTGAAAATCTGGTCTTTTTTTCTCCTATCTCTTCTTAAAAAAAAAAAACAACAACTGTATGCACTTACATTCATGGTATAGAAATGTAAATGGTATTTGAGACATATCAATTTGGGACAACTTCCATGTTGAAAAAGGTGAAATAAAATTTGTTTTTTGTTGTTCCTATCAGCTCCCTCAACTACTCTCTTTAAACTGAAAATCACATATTTTTTAACTCTTCTCCACATTTACTCCTTTCTTGCAGTACCAATGTTGTGGATTGAAGGATGGACCTAAAGACTGGGGACAAAATTTTGACAAACAAAAAGACATCTGTCTATGTGAAGTAGAGAAGCCATCATCATCAGACCTCTGCACCGACTATGGAGGCAGATACATTTATAAAAAAGTGAGAAAAATGTTCACTCCTCTTTCCAAAGAGCCAAGTTTTAACCCAAGGTTATCTCTGGTGACTGGCCTAGTCAGGAGTTCTATATCTTTCTGAAAAGGCAAAGTTTTGCTTTCTCTTTCTTAGCCAGAATTACTCCCATGCCATCTGTTAAGAAATGACTGCTCACAACTCTGCTCCTTCCTCTTCTTGAGATCTCTCCAGTTTAGGCTTTTAGCAATCTTCATGGGCTGTTGATGAAAATTATTGACTTTGGGGCCAGGGTATGACCCTGGGTCAGAGCTGTACACCAGCTACCCTTTGGCTCTCATTCCTCTCTCTGAAGGCTATGTTCCCATCCAGGCTCATTGTGCTAGTTGTCATGTTGACTTTGAGACTTTCAAAATGCTAAGGTATATTGAAAATCAAACACATTAAATGCAATACCCTTGGGGTTTTATAATTCTTTAATTAAAAAACCCACACTCATTCTGCAGGATCTGCTGGAAAGAAACCTTACATATTGTGAGATTCATGGCAGAATATTCAAAGAGTGATTTCTTACAACTACAGCCTTCTGAAAATCTTAATTAATGTAATAAGGCAAAATATCTGGTGACAGGCAAAAAAGGAAGTAGAGATCTTGTAGACAGTAGAGATCTCAAATAACAAATTTCATAGTTTGTTTGTCTCATTATAAGGAAATCTGGACTCTATGGATATGCAAAAATATTTAAAAAGAAATGCACAAAATAATTGAATAGCACAAAGTAATTGAAATTTTAGAACGCTGGTGGTGCAAATTTTGCCAGTATGCACCTAGCACCAAGCAGAATTTAGCAAATGTCCATTCTGGTTGTATAATTCTTTAATTGTACAGCTCCTTAATCAGGTCCTGCCTGAGCAGTAATTTCCTCCCCATGTAGTCCCACAGAAGCAAATACTATTTTAAAGCAATGAAACAATCTGGTTAAGTAGAGGATACCAGAACCCAATCTGGAAATAAGATGTATAGAAAGAGGGTGTTTTGGCCACACTTTAATGTCTTTTTGGCCTCAGGCAAGCCCTCAAAGGACACATGAGAAGCCATCTGTGAAATTACTGCAGGTGCAAGATATTGCTCATATGAACACACAGATTTCATGGTGATGTGAGATGCTAGTTGAAACATCCAATTCTTCTGATATGGGAAAAAATATTTGAAATCCAGTGCAGTTATGAGTCAGCTTAACAGAGAGATTTTTAGAAGAACTAGAAGGAGAAGACCCATGTGTTTATTGTGAGAGAGGATATATGGTGAAAAAATACAGCTATATCTGGGGGAGAAGACAGTTGTAGTCTTGTAACAGTAATGTAATTTGAATGTATTTAAGCTGTATTTGGCTTTCCCTCCTGTTTGCAGAAGGAAGATTGTCAGTGCCTAGAGAAGATGTAGTCACTGTAAGAACAGACATATGCAAATATTCAAAAGGAGTGTAGCTCTGCACAGAACTTCAGCTGTAGAATCATAGAATAGGCTGAGTCGGAAGGGACCCATCAGGATCACTGAGTCCAATTCCTGGCCCTGCACATGACAGCCCCAAGAATCACATCATGTGCATGAGAGCATTGTCCAAATGCTTCTTGAACTCTGTAGGGTTTGGTGCTGTGATCACTGCCCTGGGAGCCTGTTCCTATGCCCAGCCACACTCTGGGTGAAGAATCTTTTCCTGATATCCAAGCTAAGTCTCTCCTGACTCAGCTTCATGACATTTCCTTCGGTCCTTTCAGTGTTCATGAAAGTGGAGAGATCTGTACCTGCCCCTCTGCTTCCCCTCCTGAGGGTGCTGAAGACCAAATGAGGTCTCTGCTCAGTCTCCTTTTCTCCAGGTTGAATAGAGCAAGTGTCCTCAGCCACTCCTCATACGGCTTCCCCTAAAGGCCCTTCACATGGCCCTACTTTGGACAATCTCTAGCAGCTTTACAGCTTTCATATATTGTGGTTCCCAAACCTGCCCCCAACACTCAAGGTGAGGCTGCCCCAGTGCAGAGCAGAGCAGGACAATCCCCTCCCTTGCCCGGCTGTGATGCTGGGCCTGATGGACCTCAGGACAGGGCTGGCCCTCCTGGCTGCCAGGGCACTGCTGACTCACATTCAACTTGCTATGGACCAGGACCCCCAGGTCCCTTTTTGCAGGGCTGCTCTCCAGAATCTTGTTTCCAAGTCAAACCCCAACATAACCAGGGTGGCAATATCTGACCTTGTTAAACTTTATATGATTGGTGATTGCCCATCTCTCTGTTTTGCTCTCTCTCTAGGGCCTCTTTTCCCTCAAGGAAGTAAACAGCTCCTCCTAGTTTAGTGTTGCTGGCAAACTTCCTTAGTATTCCTTTGAGTCCTGCATTCAAGTTGTTAAGGAACGTGTTTAAGAGGATTAGACTGAGGATGGAGCCCTGCAGAATCCCACTACTAACCAGGCTCCAGACTGATGTTACCTTACTTACTATAACTCCTTGTGCCTGACCCACGAGCCAGATGCTCACCTATGGCATAACATGGCTGTATGTTGGACATTTTGTCCAGAAGGATACTGTGAGAGACAGCACCAAAATCTTTGCTGAAGTTCAAAAAGTTTACATCTATTGGCTTTCCAGGACCAATTAGGGGGGCTACTCCATCATAGAAGGAGTCAAGTTCAACAGGCAGGACTTTCCCCTCATGAAGCCATGCTGGTTACTCCCTTCCAGCCCTAGCCTAAGACCACCAAACATTAGACAAAATTAATTTTGAAGATAGGTTTTATAACCAAATATTTTTAGTTAATCCCAAGTCTAATAATAAACCTTGAAGTTTCAAATCCAAACATTGGTGGGAAACAAGCTTCCTCTCAGACCTGGTCACGGCTGGCTGCATTGACTCTTTCCTAGCAGCAAATGATTATCAAATGGAAGTAAGAACAAACACTTCTTTCCTTATTGACTGAAAATAAGGCAAACATTAGGCACTACAGCTGTATGTCTTCCTTTAAAATAGTAGCTTGTTATGGTCAGCTACTAAATCTGCATATTTGGGAAGGCAAAGACTTTCACAGAGCATAAAGTACACATAACTGTGTGATTTGTGTTCATTAGCAACAAGCCAGAGTAAATTCAAATAGCCTTTTTTTAGCCCAGAGCTAAAGAGAAAGAGAGAGAGAGTTTGAGAGTTATTTTAGAAGATGCATTCCTATATATTCCTATATTTTCCTATATATTCCTATTATTCCTATATCCTATAGGATAATATTGCTTACCTATAATTAATAATTTTGTTTTATTTTTCAGTCCTGTGGAGAAGTGATTATGAAACAAGTTAAAGACAATCTGGTCATAGTTATGGGGATCGCCTTTGGACTGGCTGTTGTTGAGGTACCAGTGTACACTGTTAAAATACTTAGTAGCTGACAAGCAATATGTTCCACTTGGAAATACATTGGGAATGGGATTAAAACACATGGCTTGCTCAATTAATAGACTAGGGAAAACCACCTCTCACCTTAGCTATAACCTTACTGTTATTCATATAAACATATTTCATTAAAGTATGTGGCTGCTGAGCTGCAGACTTCAGGTGAGATCAGACCACCCTGCTGCCTGTATAAGGGTATCACATGGAAGATTTTCTCCAAAAAAATTGCCAGTCCTGAAGCTGGGCTGTGTCTTGACACTGAGCCCTGTGTTCAGAGATGTGCGTGAATAAGGAGCACCAGAAGACATAAGGAAGAATAGACAGATTTTTCCTCCTCTTTCTCATCTTTTCTTGAGGAAAAAGTAATCTCCTAATAAAACTTAGCCCCTAGAGTACATATTTTTATCATTAAGAAGTTTTGGTACAAAATTATAATTTGGAGGCATTAAAACTTTAAGCATCAAGATGATGCATGAATGTGCCTGAGTGCACACGTGCGATGCTCCATATATTCCTGTGTAAAAAAACCACAGAATATGTGAACTGTTTCTTTTAATTTCCTCACCATACACTGAAGAATAACATGCAAGATTTTCTCTGAAGAGAGGAAGAAGTATGGCTATCCAGTCAGCTAGTTGATTTTGATTTGAATAGAAGAAAATGATAAAGAAACAGGGGATTTCATCAGTCATTTTTTCAGTCATTTTTTTTTTTCTTTTCACTCTTTCTCCTTGGTTTCCTCCACCTTTGCTCTCCACCAGTGGATGTTTGAGGGAAAAACAGAAATGACAAAGATTGCTGTGGAAATTTCAGTCTGTTATTCAAAAATACTTAACATCATTGGCAGAGGATTGCTCCTCATGACAGAAGAGTGGGCAAGAGCCCCAGTTCAAAACCGTGTTTCCAGGAAAATTGTAATAAGTGGGGAAGAATTATGCAGCTGCAGCACTGGAGGTGTACAGGCCACCAACTTCTTACTCAGCGCAGGCTTTCTGGTATTTAGGAAGCTATATGTAGGCAGTCAGGTCTCTCACACATATTACTTTGAGGGAAAAATAGGTGAAATACACTGATATTAAATAGTCTAAAATATAATTGAAGTGTAAAATTGCATCTGTATCCCTAAACAAATTATAAGTGACTTTGCTCTAGTTATTGCAGTTATGTGGGTTGTAGCCTTTAGTTCATTGGCCATCATTCTTTCCTGTTCTCCAGCTGGCATTTTCTGTGCTGGCTGCCTTTCCCAGTCATAAAAGGATTAGAAAACAACATGAATAAACAATATGAGACTCAGCACAAATTGTCAGATAGCAATTTACACTTGATAAACATTTAGTCTTTCCATATTAACTCAAGCAATTGCAAATCAAAGGCCACTTGCTTAACCACCTCTCTGCTCTAGGAAATCCCAGATAAAAAGAGGTGCTCTTCTCCTCTCTGCCTGCCTCATCATGCCACTTGTTACTGCTTTCTGCTTGACCTGTTAGTGCTTTCAGCTCACCCTACTAGTGAAAGTTGTATAGATAAGAAGGGCCCAGTTTCATTTGGGTGCAAGTGCAAATGTGGGCATAGTATGTCAGGGAAGCCTTGTCAGTTTATTCCAGGTGTGAGGCCATCCCTTTGTCTTAGCTATACCTCTGTGCTACATATGCTCTTCTCTGTCTCTTCCTTAAGTAAATAAAGTATGTCAGTGTTTGTGGCTTCAAAGGTGTCAGCTGGGCGCTTTCCACTTTTGTGGAACACCTTCACAGACTGGTTAACTTTCAATTCAGAAGGAAGCTTTCTGATCTGAGCTCACCAGCTGTCTGCCACATGTCATGGGATTGTACCCAGTAATTCCCAATACAGATGGTGACTCTATTGAATTTTCTATTTCATGTAACAGCTTCTTCAGTGAACTCACTATTGTTTCTATCCCAAGTGCATTACTGATAAATATAAAATATTTGTTGCATGATCATTTGCAACTCAAAACAGTGAGGTAGGTTTATAGATACCTGTATACAGTATACACATGTATATATACACTTGTATACATACACTTCACACATATGGTTACATAGAAGAGAATGACAGTGGAAGAGAGATTTCAAAGGGAGACAATCCTTTGAACACACAGTGAACATTCCTCTAACTTTATCAGAAAATACAATGCTCAATTTTTGTCCAATTTCTTGAACTTCTCTGTAATTGCTGCTCCATCACAGCTAACAACTGCATTCTGAACACACAGAGATACAGGGGTCCTCATGCACAGAGGCAAACCATCTTTTAAACAAATGAAACTTCTCCACCATATCTGCGGTCTTACCTGTGGTATATACTGACTTCATTAAATGTCTCTATTCTGTAAGAGGCACATTGGAAAAAATCTGCGCGGCAGATTTAGCCTGCATGTAAATCCAAGACATTTGCTAACAAAATATTCCCATTGTGTATCAGTTGATTTCCAGAACTGCCAAGTAATACCAGAAATATCTTTGTTTTCCAGATTCTTGGTTTGGTGTTTTCTATGACCCTCTACTGCCAGATCGGGGGCAAATGAAACTGTGAAAATGTCAGGATGATGTCACCAGTCAAATCAACATCTTTCTAGAAAGAGGGCTAGAAATTTGGCTGGCCACATTCAGATAAATATATGCATGTCCCAGGCAGCTGTTCTGATGAAAATGGCAGTTCTGGTGCTCATGGATGCTTAACAACTTACAAAATGACCTCTTTATATTTCATAAGACTTAATGATGTGAATATGATTTTTTATTTGCAATAAACATCTTTGTTTGTGTTTCTGAGGTGTTTATTTTGTCCAAAGACAGCAATTATGTCATGTTGAGAGTGAGTTCACCATGTGGTGTGCCCTCGTGAGTGTTAAACCACCCACAGCAGAGTCTCCATAAACAGCTGCAAACCATCATGCAATGGCTGATTGCTCCAGGGAACTCAGGTCCCTGGGAACCTCTGCTTGTGCAGTAGGGTGTTTTCATTAAGAGAGTTGTGAGTTAGGGTTTTGTTACCTGTGGAAAAGGGCAACTAACTTGGAACCAAATAGGAAAGCCACGCTTCCTTTCAGGGATGTTTAAATCAGTATCTTGGCAGCTGAAGTGGTTGCTTTCAGGCCCAAATGATGCTTAGGCTGCATAAATGAGCTGGATTTAGTGGCATGTGTTTTGCAAATAAACATCAATGGTGAAGTCCAAGCCCATGTGGAGGCAAGGCATGGACAGAAGTCATGCAGGTAAGGCTTTGTCCAGAGCAGCTAAGGCAAGTGGGTGGACAAACACAGGGCATGGCTGGCAGCACAGCAGCAGCCATAGAAAGCCTGCCTGCCTTTGGACTGACCAGTGCATGTGAGTGTTTGGGCCCTGAGGGACTGACAGCCCTGATGGTCCTTGCCCAGCCACCTCAGTTTCCCTGCGCATTGCCCATGGCAAGGACACCACATCAGCATCCTGGGCCAGTTGGTCCCTGCCCCACCAGTGCCACAGTAGGACTGGTCTCCAGCTCCCTGCCTGGTCATGGAGTCCCACCAAGCTGGGCCTGCCCATGTGTCCTGGTGTGGCCTCAGCCCATCCCCAGGAAGTGCATGATGCCAGGGGCTGGGGCTGCCCTGGTGCCCTGCACTGCCCCACTCCTGACCCAAATGGAGGGATGGGCCAGCCTCTGCCTTGCCACCCCAGCAGAACCCCATGTGGTCCCAAGCCCTGGGAACCTGCTGGCCTAGGTTTTCCTCTAACAGAAATGGCATCAGGGACAAGATTTTTAAGGTATGAGGGTGCCTAATGATGCCCACAGGGACCTACTGAGGTTTTAGAGAGCAGGCTGATGGCTCCCCTGCTCTGTGTTGGGATTAGCTGATTTACCCAGCTCCGCTGGACCCCCATCTTCATGAAAGCAACTTTAAACACCTCACACAGTTACTCTTAAGAGATAACCACGTATCATGCTCCTCTTGTTAAAGACCCTTTGGGTGCCCTCGACTGTCTCAAAGCACACCCTAACTGCTCCCATCTTGACAAAGCAATGCAATTTGCTTACAAATGCATTAAAAGCTTCCCTTGAACAGAGACCTTTGTCCATGTCTTACTCCAGCAGAATTGTGTTCAGGTAAAATTCATCTGCAGCAGCGAGGTTTTTTTAAACTCAACCAGAGGAAATTTCTGTCTCATCTACCATCCTTCCCTAGCATTCAGACCATTAGGCCAGGCAGTGATGCTGCTTTCAGTAATACATGTGTCTCCCAGGAAAGTCATCTAGCTACAAGACAGTTCTGGCACTTGTCCTTCCCCTGCTGAACCTCAGAAGCTGTGCCAGAAGAAGTCAAACTTTGTTGGACCAGAGAAGAACCATGACTCCATAACCCAGCTGTACTAACTGGAAAAAGAAGTGGCTTCTAGTTCCTCCTCCTCCCCTGAGTGTTTTTTTCTGTGCATAACTTATCCATGATCTGAAGTCCTGGGAGCTGATCCTGAATCACCCAGATCATGGCATGGCAGCTGGAGTCCTGGATTATCACTACAGAAAAAATATTGGGAATATAAGGGCAACATGAAGAAAGAATTGCATCTTCCTCTTTTTCCTCCTCCTTCCCATTAGAAGGACTGTTCTCCTATTTGAATGACGACAAGAGGGACTCCCATAGAAAGGGGTCTTGAGGCTAATGGATGGACATGATGGAGAAATTACAGCTCATCCTTACTGCCAGAAGGAGTCAACTTCAGGCAGCAGTAAACTTGAGTAATACTGGCATGAATTTGTAATGAGCATTGAGATGAGACTGAAAATGTGCGCTGGCTCAGACACCAGTCTGGTCCTGTATGCTGCTCTGGGGATCCAGATGTGTAAAACAAAGCTCTAATACATCTAAATATTGGTTGTCTACTGCCTGGTATTGGATATAATCCTCAAAATAATCTTTGCTTGCATCAAAATAATGATGTATGATACATTAGACTTTTTGTTAAAACAGTTAAAACTGTTGATATTAAAATCAGCGTCAAAATCTTGTCTTCAGGAAGGAACTTTGACACAGGAGTTTTATCTAGAGCTAAGGTGAACAGTTACTCTGTTTATTTATGCCATCTGTCTCTATTATGTAAAGCTCTAAGGAATAAAAGTAAAGCACTATGATTATATGCTACCATGACTGTTAAAATGGGATTGAGCCAATGAAGTAATTCAGAATATTATCAGCTTGCTGGTGAAGTGGATTTGCCACTAAAACATGCCCATTGCCTTTGATGTTGCAAAATTTACTTTCTTCTGATGTTCTGTAGCTTCCTGAAGTTTTCTACCTCATTTTTTCAATGGTAGTAGCAAAATGCTAAGCATGAAACAAAAAGAAATCTGTCTGGAAAAGATTCATCTGGCCATTTGCCAAACAACAGAGTAGAAATTTGTATCATAGAATTGTGAAATTGTTTGGATTGGGAGGTACCTTTAAAGATCATCAAGTCCTACCCCACTGCCATATCTGAGCTATGAGTTTGAACTCTTCCTATAATCAACAAAGAGAAAAAACACATCTAGGATTTGAGCCATCTCATTCTAAAATAAATGTCCAAAGAGGTAAGGAGAGTGATTTTCATTGCAAATAGGTGGAATTGAAGTGAATGAACCCCACCCCACAATACTTAACTTGTTGAGAACTTTAGAAGCACTGATCAGTCAGGAAAGAGCATTAGTATAATATTCCATGAAGGTGCATTGATTATTCATTGATTCATTGACATTTTTGCTCAGTCATAATCCAGCCTGCCAGGAAGTGAGCCCTGCCTACTCTCTAGGCTGGTAGGATAAGATTCATCTGGTCTGCACAATGTTGTAACAGAGATCCCAGCACCATTCCTTCATGAAGTCCCCTCTGTATTCTTATCAAAGAACATTTATAGTTAGCTGTTGACTCAAAATAGCAATGGGACACTTTTCTGAGCCCACAAACACTTTTTAATCCTGATGTCTGGAATTGCTGAAATGGAATTTGACAATAAATCCTTGACAGAACAATAAAACCATAAGGGTTCTCTTTTGTGGGGTGTTGGGGTAGGTTGTTTTTGGTTTTTCACAACCATCTCATGCAAGGTTATGTTCATCTCAGTTTTACCCAATAAAATAGAACATACAGAGGAAAGACACATGTCCAAGGCCTTAGTTCTTTAAAATATCAAAGGGAGAAAAAGCATTTATCATTATAGTCTCAAATGGAATAAAAAAAGAGTGGTAGGAAGAAGGAGGAAGAAAGACAATGTGTCCCTGCCTTTGCCAGTGGAGCTAACTTCCACCTTAAAACCAAGTCTATTTAAAATGTGCTGGTGGTTTATCATGTCAAAACCAAACATCTAATTAATGGCAACAGATAAGATATCATACCTGGGCCAAAATTTCTCCAAAGAAGAATTTGTTACATCATTTAAGGGATTTGGAGGGCGGGAATGTATTTTTCTCAGAGAGGATTTTATTTGCGGGGAAATGCAGCCCAAATAGAAAAAGAAAACCGTTATAATCTATGGCAAAATATGAGTCAGTAAAGCAATGTCAGAAACAATGAAGGGAAGATTATTAAGCCTGTTATTGGAAACAAAAAATAAGGAGGAGAAAGACAGAGGCAGATAGACAAAAAGAAAAATGATTTTTAAAAAATGGAAGAAGAATGAAGCAAAACAGGACAGGTCAACTTGAAAGAAAGAAAGAAAAAAATAAATATTATCAAGATCCAAGAATTTTCTGCACTCTATTCAGCATGAGGAGAATTTGGCCCCAGTCCACCTTTGTGTCCTGAATGCCATGTTGAAAGCCAATTCAACCTGTCTTTAAATCATCTGCCCCAAATCTGTCTGGCTATCCAGGCCTCTGAGAAGCTGGGGCTCATCAGAGCGTAGCTGGTAGCCAAAGGGTACACCAAGAGACAGCTGTGGTAGTTGTATGGCCTCTGGGCATGCCTGGACAATGAAACCGAGGAGTTGAAACAGCTGACTTTCCCTCTGGATAGGACACCAGGAAACTGTGGATCTGGCCAAAGTATTTTTGGAGACACGATTAAGTGAGGCAGCAGGGTTTATTTTTAAATTAAGATGGAGGGTTATCAGTTTAAGTTTTGAAATAGGATTGAAACCACAGAATTAAAAGCCAGTTATTTGGCTCTGCTGTAAGACCTGTCTTAACTGCTTAGACCAAGGTTTTCTGGCATGGGAGAAACTCAGCTCATTTAGACTGGATTCAGCCCTCCTCAGCTGAGGGGATGTTTGACTTTGGGTTGTTTGGGGAGGTCAGTTAGAGAGCAAACACCTAATAACATTCCAGGCCAGAATCAAAACCTACCCCTGCAAAGATTCAGGCTGGAGAATCTCCCTGGACATTATTCCTCCAGGAGGGAACTGGGATGTGCTGATATGGGGGAATGTTACATTAGGATTCCATTCAGGAACCAAAGGGAGGCTTGGATCTCTTTTGGCTTTATCCATGGCAATTTGATTATTCTTAATATCAAGTAAACTGGTACATTTTCTCCCCACCTCTGTCAATAGCAATATTCGCATCCTTTCACTGAAA